CTCTGCAGCACCGGTTCGATCCCCGGCTGCTCCTCGGCCACTGGAGGAGGGTCCCGAATGGTGCGCAGACCTCTCCTGCCGCCCGCTGCTCCCCTCAGCAGTGTACTTCAGTCCTTCTGCCTGCTCTGCTCCCCGCTCTGGCTCTGGTGAATTCTCTCACCCTCCCGCGCTTCTGACTGTACCCAGTGCTTGTATAAACAAACAAACAAACAACTAACTAACTAAATAAATAAATCTTTAAAAAAAAAAAAAAAGAAGTGAGCATTATGGGTAAATTGAGGCAGTTCCCCGGAAGGAAAAGGCAGAGGAGAGTAACAGTCAGAGAGCTGGCAAGGTTGCACATTTTTGTGGAACAAGCCCCCATGCCAAACAGCTCTTTAAAGCCCCTTCAACTCACGTGCCTAAAGAAGTAAATAATTAAACTCTTCTGTCGGGGATCACCTGGCTCCCCACATCCTCTTACTTAGGCTCCCCACATCCCCTCACTTAGGATGTTTTGTTCCCACTGGAGCGTGTGATTGGAAAACAAAAGTAAATGAGAACAATTTATTCCCGGATCATTTTTTCCCCCAGCAGGATTAAAGCTGCCTCAGCCATAAAGAGTTTACAAACTCTAAAGAAAGATAATAACTTCCCTTCTCACAGGCCCCGGTCATGGGGAGGTAATGCATGTTTCCAATCAGCTGAGAATGTAACTCAAATGGTAGGTTTTATTTCACTTTAATCCGTCTGTGAGTTCACATTCAAGGTAAGAGATCACAGTCCTGCAATGTGAATAGAATTCATTAACTCGGCATCTGATCTTAAAGATGGAGGAACTGGGCTTGTTTACTCCTCGTCTCAATACCTGGGTGGTGCTTTGAGGGTCTGGTGTGGGGGGTGAGTGGCTGCAGCACAGGATTGCAGATAGAGAAACTTCAGCCGAGAGACACAGGAGGATCCGAATGCCCTGCAGGCTTCTTCTGGGCCCGGCTCACCAGGTCAGCACCTCCAGATGCCGTGGAGCAGAGCTTGATAACGGGGCACAACAGTGGATACAGTGCAAGTCAGCTCACAGCCCAGGGGGAGGCAGCAAGGACCCTGGAGTTGCTATTGAGCCCTCTGCACTGCTGGTGGCTTCCTTGCTTCAGCACATCTCTCTGCTAAAGGCAACCTGGTTGCTCAGTCAGCTATTGTAGAAAGAATCAGTTCTCGCTTCCACCTAAGCGCTGGAGACCAGGAGCCAGTCCCTGAACCATGTCTTGCTGCACACATTTATGAAATGGCCACCCATTCAAGGGGCAAGGGGAATTGTTTTCTTTATTGGCCTCTGAGACCCCTGAAATGTCACTCTTTCTTCATGAAAACTCACTCCTGGAGGGCAAACCTTTGAAAATGCAGACGTCTCAGTAACAGACAGTTCCGGTCTGCGAGAGTGGGGTATTCCTAGTGTCTCTTTGGAGGAAGGGTCTAGATGAGCTGGGAGATCCAGTGAAACCTAGACCTATGTAGATCTGGTGGGCTACAGACCCAGACTCAGTGCAGCCGGCTCAACTCCTGATGGCTGCTTTTTGGAACCCCTCCCAGAGTCTCCCGGCGGGCACCCAGCCTTCTGTTTGGGGCAGAAAGTGCTGGGTAAGGAGCTCTCTCAGTAATTTGGGAACCCTCGCAGATCTGTCAACCTTCCTCAGTGGTAACCATGCAGAATTCCAAAAACTCAGAGTTCTGCTTGAGTTTGGACAGCAGAGGCTCAAGTACTAAGCAGTAGCACCAAGCCTGCTCATCCCCAACCAGAGGGTTTGGGCCGTCCCTGTTGAGGCCTAGACCAGATGAGAGACATCCATCTCTCCCTGTCCATGGCCAAAGCCCATGGCTTTTCAGCATTCTTGCCCCAGCTAGCCTAGAGCTTTCCCCCCACCACAGCAGGAGGCAGCGTGCAGAAGCTCTCCGGGGGACGGCCCATGCTCATCCACAGCTGCCCTCACTGGAGGCGGAGGCTGAGGTTGGCCTTCTGATGCATCCTCCAACATGCCTGCAAGATGTGTGTCTCAGAGTCCTGTGCCTTGCCTGTTTATGGGCATTGTGGTGTTTTTCTCAACACAGGGCTGGAAGGGATATAGTGTCTCACTTACAGACCGGTTGGGAAGATTCCCATTTTTGAAAAACAAAGGAATGTGAGGGTTAAAATGTTTTAAGGGCACAAGGGATGATCTCTAAATTTCCAGACATCCTCTCGGAGAATTGTAGTGCTCTGGGGTATATCTGAATGTACTGATGTAGCTCTTTGTAGCTGATGTGTGCACGCGTATGCAGGCGTGCGAGCTGTGCCCATGCCTTCCATTCACTGCACTAAATTGCACCATGAAAACGAACTCTTTTGAGCTCTTACTGTGTGCCAGGAACTGCACTGGAGGCTTCCTGTGCAGTCCCTCCTTCTACTTTCACAGCACTAGTTCCCATTTTCTAGAAAAAGAAACTGGGGCACAGGGACAGTCTGTCCCTTGTTGAGGGGCACAGAACTAGTAAGCAGTAGAGCAAGAATTCTGAGCCAGGCAGGAGTTCAACTGCTGAGCCCCAGCTTGAAGCCACCACAGCGTGTGCACTTGATTGTGCGTATGTGTGCATATGTGTATGTGTGTTAATGTGCACACCCTTGGCCCCGTGGGTGAGCGCTGAGGACATCGTTGAGAGGAATCCTGCCACCTGCTCAACTCTCCGGGTAAAGCAAGCATGCCAGTGTCCTTAAAGCCCATGCTTGTCATTCCAGCTAGTGGCATGGGGTGGTAACAGGGGTCTGACGATTTAAATGGTTTTGTACTCAAGAAAGATGGGGCCTAGGATGGAGTGGAGCTTTGCTGTCTTGAAAGTTGGTATGAGTCAAGCCACACATTTCCTGAAGAGATTTCAAGAACCAGCAGTTTGTTTATTGGATCCCTCCTCAGCTGCCATTCTTCAGTTTGGCTTCAGAGGTCCTCACTGACACTTACCCTAAAGGCCCCAGTAATGGACTCCCTCACTGAAGAGGCAGACTGCTCTCTCTTGCAGACCTGAGTGAGGGGTTTGCTCCTCCCTGGAGGGAAGAGGGCCCTCACTCAGAGCTGGGAGCCACCCACCAGAAACTTCCTCTCTTCAGTCTTTGACATTCCCTTGCAGCCTCCAGGCGGTGGCTGCCCCTCCCTAATGCATAGCTTGGGGAACACCGTGTCCTGTGGACTGACTGTTATGTATACAGAAACTGTGTTGAAATACAAAGGCAGTTCCAAGACTAGGCTTCTTCTGACCACCTTACACAAGGCGCCAGGTCACCAGCCCTGGCAGCATGGCTCCATTCTGCAAACTGAATAGTGGGCCTGCTGGGGCAAGAAGCAGGTGAAACCCTCTCTTGACTGCGCCCCAGGCCGATGCCTAAGACAGAGTGCAAATGGACCCTTGGCCCTGGGACCCAGTTCATTGACTTCCAATCTTCTCTTCATGTCTTCGCCTTCATATCTTCTTCATATCACTCCTTGGGAGTGGATCTACTAGGCCCCATATATCAGGCCTCACGCTAGTAGCTAACCCTTTGGGTACCTGCTGTGTGCCAGATGCTATGCTATATGCTTGACATCAGACCCTCCAGTCCCTCCCCACACCTCCAGCAGGTGGCTCTTACTCATTTCCCAGAGGACGAGAGGGAGACAAAAGCAGGCAAGTCACTTGCCCAAGATCACACATTTAGTGAGTGGCATGGTGCTGGGTAAGACACTTAGGCTCTTTGAGCCTCATTTTCCTCATCTGTAAATATGGTAATATTGTTGTCCGTCAGGGTGTTGTGAGGTCCAATAGGACAAGCATGTAGAGCAGCAGTGCCCTGAGCACACCGCAAGCACTTATCAGATGCGGCCACTTAAGAGTGGAGCTAGTGTCACCCCCAACTTGAAGCAGTTATCAGATGTGGCCATTTAAGAGTGGAGCTAGTGTCACCCCCAACCTGAAGCAAGCATAACACAGTGGTTATGGAAGCCCTCACTGTGGTTGTTAAACAATTAATTCATCAGCTCCTGATTTGTGTCTTTCCTGAGTCAGGTGTAAGCTCCCTGAGGGCAAAGACTGTCAGGCTTATTCACTGCTGGTTCCCAGAGCATCTGGTGCAAGGTGGGTGCTTGGGGGAAGTTAGTTGATTGAATAAGCAAAAGACAACTTTGGGGTCCCAAGGTGCCATTCCCAGCACTGACAGTTCCCTCCCCTCTACTGTCTTGTGGCTGTGATCTGTGCACTTGCTTCGTTCTCCGTTGGAGAAGAAGCTTCCAGAGCTAGGACAGGCCTGAGTCCTGCCTACCACTTTTCTCCCCACGGCGAAGATGCTCTGGGCCTGGCTGTGCTGCAACCTCCCCATAGTCCACCCTGGGTGCCGGAGGGGCTTCCTTCTTGGGTGGGAAGTGGACAGTGTTGAAAGGCTTTTTGGAGCCCACCTGAGTAAAATAACTGCTGAGCTGAATCCTAGCACATCCTCCCCCACACGCCACCATCTCAGAGACTTAACTGTGAAAGAGCCCATCGCCCTAGAAAGCCTTTTCCAAAGACAGTGTCCTCTGGCCACTCAAGGCTTTGACCCCAAAGAGACAGAAAGTGTAGGAGCACGTGGAAGAAGGTAGAGGTGATAATGAATTTCCAGTCAGGTCCATCTCCCTGCCCCCAGGAATCCCTGAGCTCTGCCTGTGTCTTCTCCAGAAAGGTGAGGCCCCACATTTCCAATTTCCTCTTACATCTCTACTGTATTTCCCACCCCCACCTCTCCGTGACTATGGGGCGTGCATGCAACCCATCTGGGGATCAGGGGACCCTATTGGGTATGCCAGCTTAACAAAATACTTGTAGTTTATTAAACACAGGCTTCCCTAAGCCTCCTGTGCCTGTGGGTATTTGAAAGCCCAAGGTAACCTGGAGCTACCACAAACGTAATTGTTACATGTGTCCCTGCATTCCTGGGGCAACCTCAAACTCTAGCTCTTAAGCAGCATACAAAATTAGCAACATAAAGTAACTCCTAGTCAGACAAGAGGGGGGCAAGGTGGGAAACGTTGAGAAAGGCTCCCAGAACCCCTCAGGGCCTCTAAAAGTATATGAATTCCCCCTAACTGCCGCCATAGCTGCAACTGAGGACCACTCCCCCCCCCACCACAGGCTGTTCGCGTTTGCAAAATCAGTTCATTGTTCGCCTGGCAGTCCTTGCTTGTCAGCCTCGCATGATGTAACTTGAATATTTCAAGCCCAGGTTCAGCAAAAGCTTGCTCTCTGCAGGCAGGGCCAGGGGGCGGCTAGCACAGCCTGCTGTCTGGGGACTCCCTCTGGAGCTGTATTTCTGTTCCTCCTCCAGGGTTTGGCTGGGGAGGGTCCTGGAGAAACCCCAGGTGTCCTGCAGCCTGCTGCCCTGAGCCCCTGGGAGGCTGCTCTCTGGGGCTGCTTTCCCATTCGTCAGTTTCCTCGGCCCGGAGCCTGTAAATCAGGGGTGAAGGGCTGAGAAGGAAGCAGCAGACTAGGGCCTCCAGAGAGGGGCCACTCTCGATGTGGACCACCATCTGGATGCCGGAGAAGGCGACCCTGTTGACGATGCTGAGGGGGACTTGCTCCAGGAACCTCAAAGTCCGTCCGTTGACCCACACACAGCCCTTGCGGCTCAGGGCCTTAAGGCAGAAGGCCAGCAGAGCACTGCCCTGCTCTCGGTAAGGCTCCAGGGACAGGTGTCGTCGGGAGAGGCAGGGGACCTGCAGCTGGATGTGGGCATCTGGGCCGCGCCCCACCAGCAGGGGGCTGGTGTCGTGCTGCAGCCGCAATGGTACCTTGGCAAAGGCCGCGGGGCCCTGGGTGGGGTGGTACAGGCTCACCCGCAGGACCGTGATGGGCCTCTCCATGGACAGGAGCCTGGGGAGGATAGAACACAGACACATAGGCTCAGTGAGAGCCCAGCCCTGACTGTGGATGAAACCATCCTGCCCAGCCACGATGGAGCCTCAGCTTCAGTTGGATGGAAGGTCGGTCCACCTGCTGTAGCCCCAGCTTCATCTCTATCACACAGGCCACACACTTTCTCTCTGAATTTTACATTTTTGTCATGTATGTCTGCTTTGTCTATACATGATGGAAGGCATGCCAACCTACAGGGGTTTGGGAGGTCTACTGTCATTTGGAGACAATCTGGCCCTGCATCGTGGAAAAGGGAGGGCATACAGACAGATTACACCTGCTTTGTACCCAACAGTCCCCCACAAACCTGTACAGAGCTCTCCCCTGGGCCAGGCACTGGGGCTAAGCTAGAAGAAAAACCCTTGCTCTCCGAGCACCCAACTCAGGAGGAGATTGGTGCTTCTAGCATCAGACATTTGAAGGGACACAGAAGTGGGGGCCCAGCCTGTTCCCGGGAGATCAGAAAGGCTGCCTGAAGACCAGAAGCACAAATGAAAACAGCATAGCCCTAATGCTTCCTGGCACTGTGCCCAGTGCTTTATGGGAATGAATGCCCCGAGCATTCTTCTTCACTCTTTGAGGCAGGAGACAGATCTTGACCAGGAAGGTGGGGAGTGCTGAACTTAACTCAGGAACTCTGAGGGCCTCCCCCCAGGGCAAGGTGATATCAGCCAGTGTGAAAAGCACAAGCCCTTATCTGGGGACTCCATCTCCAGTGTCTTGTCCTTTAAACGCTCCTTGGCACAAGCAGGAAGGCTCCTCACAATGCTCAACTTTGTTCCAGCATAGATTAGAGTACATATACTCTGCCACATCCACCAGTTCCATGTGCTCCAGGACCTGCCACCACCTTCAATATAAATCCACCTTCCGTGGCTTGGAGCACTAATGACACACTTTCCTAGCACCAGGCTTTTGCTTACCCACTTTTCTCACTCCTAGCTCTGTCCAATACTACTCTTCTTCAAAGGCCTGGTTCAAGTGTGACGTCTTGTATGAAATTCTTTTCCTCTCTCTGCTCTCTGACTCCCCACAGCAGGGAGACCCCTGGGGTACTTGGTCCACCCGCATTCAGCCCATCATCACATTACGTGCCAGAGTTCTGAGGGTTTTCTCTTTCTGTCTCTCTTGAGGCCTCCCGAGGGCATGGTGTGGGCTGAGCTGCTCGGCTGCTCCTAGTCCCACTGCCTCATCACACGGGCCAGGCCACAGCAAGTGTCAGTAGAGGGGCACACTTGCCAAGGGGTCAAATGAGAAGAGGTTCACCACACATGAAAATCACGTAGCATCACATCCAGATAGACCCCAAGCAGAAGTCTGGTCCAGATAGACCCCAAGTGGGGGTCCTGTCTCAGGTGGTACAGGTCCAATGTCCCTCTGGGCCTTGGACCCTTTGCCCGTCCCACCTTTTGGGATGAAACAGGCTAATGGAGAAACTTTCAGGTTGGTAGTGAGAGGAAGATCCCTCAAGATACCCCCTGTTCCCTAACATACAGCACTTCCATCCAACCCACTGCCTCCTCCCTCTGCCCCCCAGCCTGCAGGAAACCTCTTTCTGAAATACGTGATTTCAGCCAAGGCCAGGACAGTGGGGCTGGGTTCACGTCCTCAGCCCAGGCCAGAAACTCAGAGTTTACGCCTAGAAATCAATCCTGTGACTCAGGGTCCCTTAGAGATCCCCTCAGAAACAAGGCCCCCCCATTGCTCCTGTAACCTACCTGCTCCACTGAGCACTCCAGAAATCCCAACAGAGCAGAGTCTCTGAAGAGGATGTTGTGTCTTCAGGACCCCACTTGCTCTGGGGAAGCAGAAGCCTAGTGCTACCAGCGCAGCCTCCTGGAGGCACAGGGAAGAACCCAGGGCATTTGCCTGGCAAGCAGCCAAAAGAGCACTGCCCTGGCCCCACCAGCCTGCTCCTGGTACCTACCTTGCTGTCGGCACTGCTGCTATGGCTGTGAGCTCTCTGGAGGGCACAAGTCTGGGTTGGGCTTGCCCCGGGCCGGAGAGTCAGGGCACAGTGACGCCTGAGGTTCCAGGATGTGATGTGTCAGGATGCACATCAGTTGTCTTTCTTCCTTTTTCCTTTAGGAAAGAAAATGGGAGTGTAATTTCTCATTGAGGAAGTGCAACCACACCCAGTGAGGGATTGAGAAAGCCCCAGACTGGGAACTGCTCTAAGAGAGGCCCCGGACAGGAACATTCCCTCCAGGGCCTCATCTCTGCTTGTCTTTCCTGCCCTGTTCCCAGGAGACCTTGAGAGCTGGGTCGGGGTATATGCCAACTCTTTCTTGTCCCCTGCCCATCAGAAGAGGGCAAAGGCAGCCCACCTGTTAGAAAGGAGAGAACTTCTGGAACAAGAGGCAGTGAGGGAGCCGCAGGTGGGAGAATGAGGAGAACATTACAGCTGGGCCAGGGGGGTGGAGGGAGCTGCGGGCAATCTGGGAGTCCTAAGTGTTTCAGGAACTGGTGAGGCAGGCCTCAGGGGACGGGTGTACAGGCCACTCATAGAGGGCAGCCTCGCCTGCAGGACTTGAAGGAGGCAGACTTCTTCGGCTATCCCTCCTAGGCTCTGCTGCACTTTGAGGGCAGCCTGGAAGAGGCCAAGATGGATGCTTGCCCAGCACTCTGGGCTCTATCTGTCCTGGAAGTGACCTGATGCTATAGTGGTGCCAACCCTTCCCATGGCACAGCTCTTTATCTTTCACCAGTGTGCTCATATTGCCGTCATTGTACCCACCAACCTGCCCACTTGATTATAAACGTGTTCATCTTATACAGAGGAAACTGAGGCCTAAGAGGCCAGTACCTGGCCAAGGCCCTAGAACCAGTCAGTAGCTTAATCCTTTCTCTCTCCCATGAAACTCTGACTATAGTGGGGACAGAGGGCAGACAGGTGAGTGGGGCAGGCTGATCAGGCCTGTCAGCCCATGGGTGCCTCCCTGCTCTGCCACACTGCCCAGTGCCCACTGCTTACTTCTCATGGGTGACCCAGAGGTCTCAGCAGGCCACGCCCATGGGGATGTGCCCCCCTGGCTATGTTCAGGACCCCTACTTGATTCCTCTACTCTGAGCACTTGAACTCTAGTTGGTGACTTGGTAATTAAGAAGGAAAAACAAAGAACTCTGAAAATGGTCAGGCACCCCTGCCTGCCATAGCGGGTGACACCACCTCTAGAGCTCCCCAGGAAATCAGCTTCCCCCCAGAAATTTCTCAGGGGGAGCTGGAATGAGCTGTACCTACATGAGCTACAGGCTACCTCCCCACATTCCGTCATCTCCACTTTCCCTTTGAACTCCAAAATGCACAGAGCTCTGCAAGGTATGTGAGGGAGGTCCTTCCCCAGGAGCACACACAGAATGTCAGCACTCTCATTAGGAACCCAGGGAGACTTGGGCACATACAGTGGTTGCAACAGAAGGGCAGAGGTGGGAAAGTCTCTGAGGGAAATCTAGAAGGGCTTCCTAGAAGTCGAAGTTCTTAGAGTCGACTCTTTACCTCAAGGCTGGACCAGAGAAGCTAGTTGCCTAGCAGCTAGGGTTGAGTTGGAAGTCAAGTTCTATATGTCTTTTTTAGTGATTAGTTGGCCATGGGAAAATCTCCCCACCTTCCTGACACTTAGGTTTTCCAGTTGTAAAATGGGAATAGTAATAGCATCTCCCTCAAGAGACTGTTGTGAATATTCATTTTAAAAAATCATGAAAGAGTTGAGGTATAGAGCCTCACACACAGAGCAGATGCAACAAATAGCAGCCAACATAAATAATTCATGGAGAGAGTTCAGCTTCAGCTGTGGAGCAGGTTAACACAGTCTAACCTTCCCATCAAGAACAACTATAAAAGCTGGTTTTAAAAAACCTCCTTGGAGCCACAATGCAGCCAGGACTTGAAGGGCCAAGATCTTAGTGAGAAGGAAAACCCATCACATTAAGCCCAGCATGCGACCCTTCTTCCTAACAAGATGTTTGCCCACTCAAAAGTGACACAGGCTTAGAGGCTGAGCAGAAAGTGGCCGCTGAGATGCTCAAGAGTAACACAGGACAGAGGAGACATAAAGTGGAGCTCGGGACGTGAGAGGACAAGAGTCCAGAGAAAAAGGAACCGTGGAGAAGTGAGCTTCTCATTCTGACCAATCTTTGAGACAATTGCTGGTTTCAAAGCTGGCACGAGATGGTAGGAAGCCAAGTTAAGCCAAGAACTCAAAGGCTGAGAAGGGAAATGAAGCTTTTGGTTTTATCTTGGTACCAGGAGACCAAAATTGGACGTTGTGGCCCGCTAAGGAAGAGGGGCCCTGTGGGGCCCATCTAGAAGTAGGGCAGACCTAATTAGACCAGGCCTGAGGGAAGGCTGAAACCCAGCCTCAGGGGTCTCCATCTCGCTTCTCTGACTGCCCTACTAGAAACCCTGGCTAGACAAAGTGAGTATCATACAGAGCCCCTAAAATCTCTCATTACTGGGCCTCCCCTGGTGGCGCAGCGGTTGAGCGCTGGGCTGCGATGCTGCCCGCAGCCTCTGCAGTGCCAGTTCGATCACCAGCCCCTGGCAAGGGTCCCACATGGCGTGCAGACCTCTCCTGCCGTGCCTGCTGCTCCCCTCAGCAGTGTATTTCGTCAGTCTGCCTGTTCTGTTCCCCGCTCTGTCTCTGGTGAATCCTCTCACCCTCCTGCACTTCTGACTGTACCCAGTGCTTGTATAAATAAATAAATAAATCTTTAAAAAAATATAAAATCTCTCATTACCAATTTTCCACAATTGATTAAAAAAGAAAAAAGAAAATTGCCAAGAATGCCAAGGCTACAGGACCATCTATTAAAAAAAAGAGAAAACAGACCCTAGAAACCTCCTCACCATGCACATCCCCCAAAAGACCTGTAAAGATGTGCAGAGCAGCCTATTACTAACCTGAGGGTTTAAACAACCCAAGGGCTATTGATAGGAAATTGGGTGAAT